TAGGATGTATGTGTGTTTGAAAGCAGTTAATGATGGTTGGAAAAAAGGATGCAGACCAATATTTGGGGTTTATGGTTGTTTTCTTAAGGGAATATGCAATGGTATACTATTATCTGTTGTTGGTAGATATGGAAATAATCAGATGTACGCAATTACCTGGGTTGTTGTTGAGTCAGAAAACAATGATTCTTGGCAATGGCTCATGGAAAAGCTTGCACATGATTTAGAGTTGGGTGATGGACAGGGTTACACTATGATTACTGATAAACATCGAGTAAGTATTTATCACAATTATTATTAACTTTTTATGATTAGGGACATATGTGTTTATTATAATAATTAATTTCATTTTTTATTGTGCAAGGCGTTATTAATGCAAAGGCAGAGGTCTTACCATTGATAATGCATAAATATTGTGCAAGGCACCTCTACTACAATCTTGCAAGGCGAAATAGAGGTTATGACATCAAGTTTACATTTTGGTTGGCATGTAGGGCAACCAATGAGTTCGACTATCTAGACAAAATGGATGCTTTGAGGGCATTGTCTGAGGAGGCTTATGCTGAACTGAATGAACTGCTTGGTAATTTCTGGTGCAAAGCCTTTTTTGATGAGCATTGTAAGCTTGATGTGGTTGATAATAATATGTGTGAGACTTTTAATGCATGGATTTTGGGTGTAAGATGCAAGGCCATTATTTCAATGGTTAGGACTTTAATTGACTAGCTGATGGAGAGATTTAAAGACATAAGTTGTTTGTTGATACATGGGCAACTAATATTGCACCTAGAGTTTTGAAAAAGATTAATGATAATTATAACCTGTCAATGCAATGTAATATTCGGTGGAATGGTGACAATGACTTTGTTGTGTTTGATGGGCATACACAGCATAAACATGTGGTCAATGTCTAGGAAAGAAATTGCTCATGTAGAGAATGGAACCTTACTAGAATTCCTTGCCCACATGCTCTTTGCGCATTCAGATTCAAAGATTGGACTTTTGAGTACTTTGTTGATGAGTACTAGAAAAAGGAAAAGTACCTTCAAACTTATCGGACAGCATTGGAATGCCTAAGAGGGAATGAAGTGTTGAAAAGGAGGCTAGAAGGAGGATGTTTGCCACCAGAGATGAGATCAATGCCAAGGCACCCTAAAAGGAGTAGAATAAAGGCAAAGGATGAGCCTAAGAAAAGTAAGAAGGGGAAATTGACCAAGTTATCAAAGCATGGATCTATTTACACTTATAGTGTGTGTGGTGAACAAGGGCACAACAAAGCTAGATGTCCACACAAAGAAAAAGAAGAAGCAAGCCCTAGTCAAACTAAGGTACCTTTGCTGTTGCACTCTATTTGTGCAATGTTATACTTTATTTATGCAAGGTAACTTTGACATGTTAACTTTATTTAATGGCAGGTCAAGAAAACATGTAAAAAGAGTTCAAAAGCAATAAAAAAGAACACCAAGGTTGGTAAAAAATGTGATAATGTTTGTCTGGGAGGGGTTGAAGGAAGAACAAGCAGCAAAGCTAAACGAAAGATTAATGATAGTGTAAGAAAAAATAACAATATTTACTATGTACAATTCCTT